TAAATAAAAAAAGAACATTATAGCCAACAGTATTGAATGTATGTTGTAAAAAAGAATTTAATGTCTCGATATAATGTAATTGACGCATACAGACGATTGTAAGTCTGCACATAAGCGATCTGTAAATATAGCTTCCGCTACTCGGATAATTGAGAAGCGTATCTCTTGAGCTTTTTCTGAGCAATCGGATGTTGGAACAAAATCAATGATACGATAAACAAGTTGAGACCGGCTTATGGATCGCATTAATTTTCTCTCTTTCTCCCTTTCGTACTCGATTTTCGTATCCAATTTGTCAATAAAAAATATAACAAAAACCGCGCTCGAGTGTTGAATTAAAAATTTTCGAATAAACAAGGATGAATACGTGGCTTGTTTACCACCGACTATCACATCTACTATTCACATCACAATTTTAATTGGATTCTTTAAAGTTAACATACATATAGTCATTTAAACTATACATTGCAATTTTCGTGTTTATTTCTCTCAAGTTCAACAGATCGATAGAAAAACGTATATGTTTACCTGATTTAAGTCTAAAGATATGCATACGTAAAAATACCACTTTTATTTTACGGAAAGATTAAAAAAAACATTCGTTTCATTCAAATTGAAATTTACATTGATACGTCTGCCTTATTAAGCCATGTAAAATGAAAACGCACAAACCACGGAGGAAGATATACAAAAGCGTCGCGATCTATTTAGTATAGTTACGAAAGATTCGCATTGTTGCGAAACTACCAAAGCTATATGAAATCACGCAGCACGTTGTTGCGAAGTTACCAAAGCTATGAAATCGCGTACTCGACAGGGCATGTAATTAGTATGTTAATTCATTCATCAACAACTCGTATCCAGAATCCAGGCAGACAGCCTGCAACGCGCGGCTATATATGTATTATTATGCAGATATAATTCTCGACCGGATAATTCTCGACCGTCATTCGCGGAAACACGCGTGCACTTATTATGCGCGCGCGAGATATCCATCTCGATTTTCGAGAGAGAGAGAATATATAAATCGGCCCTCGCTATATATCTCTGTCTCTGGCCCGGCGAGAGAAACATTCGCGTACATTCGCCGACAAACGCGTGGGAGGCGCGAATATACGACGATCCGAACGGAATGACTGGCGTGTCGAGAAATCGATCGCGAGCCTCCCCTCGCGCATTGATTGAAATAACGCGAGCGAGGTATCGAACGTTAACCGTTCGCGGTTAGCGCTCGGTAACTGCGGCACACAACTTGAAGGCTTTCGTTATTTACCGCCGACGAATTACACCGGTGCAGGCGCGCGACATCGAAATCCCGCGTCGCTCGGCATTGGAATCACGTTGGCGCGGTGCGTCGGCATTTTAATTAATCGATCGCGCGCAATTAATTTATCGGCGCAATCGACGGTGGTCGGTTCTCGCCCACGATCGTGCGACCCATAATAATGGACCGCGAGAAGAGCGTAAAGAGCCAGCGCGTCAGCGTTATTTCACGGGCCGCAACGTCGCTCCCTCATCTGGGCCTCCTTATTTAAGCTAATTGATTTATTACGCAACCCACTAGGAGCGCCTTTCTTTAATAATCCCTCATTGGACCCGGGACTAAGGGACCGGCGAAACTTACGTATATATATACAAGCGTCTAGACGTGCTCTAATGCGGACGAGAGCGATGAATACATTTTACAAATTAAAACAGATCGTGACGGTCATTAGAATGCGCGATATCTCCCAGGTTTTATGTATATATATGTATATTCTCTCTTTCTCTCTCTCTTCTCTGTTATTTTATTCTTTATTAAATTCATCTCGATATAAACGCGCGCGCGCGCGCACCCGTGAGAATATTTTATTTCCATTCCAATATTATCAATGTTGCCTATCAATATATTATCGACGTAATAACAGATTTCTCTCGTTTAAAGTTCATAAAATTTTGATAAAGGTTTCGAAAATGTAATTGGCTAATTTCAACGATTATTACGCGCGATCGAATATACGATACTGTTGATATAAAACCACAAGTAATGCATTTTATATACGAGTATGTTATATCAATTGGATTTGAGGACAAAAGAGACTAAAATAGAAAATCCACATAGTAATCTCGTAAATCCATTGTTTCGTTCTCGACGAGAATTCTTTGGACATACCATATGTGGCTAAAGAGTTAAGCCTATTCACACAACAAGCGGGACAGAAACACAACTTTCAATATGACAAGCTGATTTACTGCTATACATGTACTATATGAAACAAAGGCGAGTCAAGTCGAAGACAGTCGCTAAAAGGATTCGGCGATGTGTTCTCTAAATAGACGAGGGTCCGAGGTCGCCCTTTGGCCGAGTTTATTACCCGAATTAATTGGTTTATAGATCACCCCCTTCTGACGGAGACCACGTGCGGTTACGCGGTGATGGGACCAAGAGGGAAAGAGAGGTCGCAAAAGGGAGGAAGGCTTGGCAGAGAGAAGGAACAAGAGGATCAGAAGAAGGGTAAAAGAGAGAGAGAGAGAGAGGGAGAAAATGATTTGAAAATTCAGTAAATAGGGGGATCGCGCGAAAGTAGGAAGACGAAAAAGAGGGAAAGGTACCGACAAGCAGGAAAAGAGAATATAAGCAGCAGCAGGAGGGGAGGAATCGCGATTCCAAGAGTGGTGGCAGAGCATGCGCGGGTGGGAGTGGCACCTTATTCGTCGTATCGCTCCCGCCAAGGGTTTCTGTCAACTACGAACTGCCGATGGTAAAGGTTCTCGGGGATACTTGTAATAAACCCGAAACACATCCGCATGCGAGTCCGCGGAATCATGTACGTTTTATAACAACTAATTTACTCTCCTCGATTTTGTAGTGTGGAGAAGAGCGAACGCAATCGGAATATTGTGACATATAATTTTTTTAATTAAAAAATACATTTTCTCTTTTCGAAATATCTCTACAAAAAAAAAATAATAAATAAAAAAGTGCGCTAATATAATATATGTGAAATGTAAATATAGAGTTTGATGAGATTTATTAATTAAGTCGAGTTACATCTCCAATTCGAGTCATCGATGAAGACGTGTGTGTGTTCGAGAGTGACAGTGTCTTCGCGAAATACGCGATGAAAATTCACCGGTGAATGGATACAGTGACGGTCGACGAATTCGAGAAATGTGCTCGTAAGGATTAAAACGACAATCAAATGTGATAAATCGCGCTTTCGAAAGGAGTATAAACGCGACGAAGGAAGATACTGGCGAATAATCGGGATCACGACACGTGGCTAGAGGCGAAAGTGTCACGTGGGCGGTATCGCGTTTGAATTCGCGTTCGAATCATCGATCCAAATTCCTGCAAGATACAATAATTCGCAAACGCGAGAAAAAATTTCGATCCGTGGAAAAAATTGCTAGAAGAATTTATTAAACCGCGAAATTAACATAGGCAAAAAATTAAATTACAGCCACTGATCTCTCCGATGATCCATTTTTCTTCCTCTCGTCGTACTGCAATAATAAAAAAAAAAAACGAAAATAAAGGAGGATCCGGACGCGCACATCAGCGGATGATTGCGGAAGCTGGATGAAATTCGCGAAAAATTTCGCGCCGCATCTTTGCGCGCGAAGACTTTGATATAACTAACGAGCCCCGGCCGACGAAAGAGCCGGTTAATCAACGAACGATGAAGAACCATTAGCGGAGGGAAAACATCTCGTTTGTTTTCATCTCGAGTACGCTCGTGACTTTGGAAAATAGAAATAAAAACAATCCGACGCGAAACTCGACTTCTCCAGACGCGTAGACACGTTTCGTTCTTCGACAAGTAATTATTCCGCGTTAATTAACGCGTGCTATCGAAGAAGACGGAGAGAGTAGAATTAATCCGCTGAAAGGGAACGACGAGGGTCATGAGGGAATGATGATTCCTTTGACAGAGATATATACGTAGTGGCGCACATCTGGTTAACGTTGCACGCAAAAAAAAGAGTAGAAAAAAAAAAAAAAACAGAAAGAAACGCGTCGAGTCTGCGTAAAAAGTTGGTGAACGCGGCCGAGAAAGAGCCCCAAAGCAAGTTGCGGAGAGAGGACGAAAAACATTATGGGACAACGTTTGCGGCGGAAACAGCGCTCGGCGTCCAACAACTAACGATAAAAGGGAGGATCGTTAAGCTCGAGAAGACCCTTGCGAAATGACCGAAGTAAGCTGGAGTAATAGCGAAATTGCTTTCGCGCGGATACACGAAAGCTGAGTGCGGTTATTGCTGTGGTTTCTTTCGGAAGAACACGTGGCCGCATCGAAAAAACATTCTTTTCGCGAGAAATTGAAAGAATTTCTCTCTCTTCGTTGATTAAATAAATCGCGAAAGAACGTTAGATAAGAAGTCTTGCGTGATAATTTAATTTCGATGAAACTCGCAAGTAATGTAACAGCTATTTTCTATCTGGTATCGCAATCAACTGTTATCTTACGATTTTCTCGAGAAATAAAGTTGAAAAGATTGTATCTCTCGTGAAGAAAAAAAAAGAACGGCAAGAACAACGAAAAATTCCTCGCAAATTCCGTTAAATCCAAGCGCAAGGTGGAATTTTTTTCATGCGATCGGTATTCCGGAACATCTTAAAAAGCACATAGCTACAGAGAATATTTCTACGGGGATCCGTAAACGCGGAAGAAACATCGCGCAAGAATAAAAACGACGAATGCAAAGAAATTCCATTGGTTTTCCATCGATTTATCGGCATTCGAATTCGAGCGTCCATTTATACATTATTTCTAAATATATCTCTGAAAAATTATCGAAGCAAATTTCCTCGAAAAACACGTGGCATCTCTCTGAATGCGAAAATCCCAGAATATTGTGTACGCGGATTAAAGTGAAGATTTTCGGTATAAATTCCGAGGTGCTGATTCCTCTATAACTTTCTTTTTTTTTTTTTCCTCGACGACGCAAACGGCCGCGATTATTCACCCCTCCCTCTCTCTCTTAACCTCCCCTCGCGCACAAATGTCAAAGTGAACGATGAAGTACTCGAGGGCGCAGACGAAGAATTGGAGCGCCACTTCGCCCGGCGACGAATCGTGCTCCAGGTGCGGCAAGTGTCTGACTAAAATGCAGTTCGTACTACTGTCGGTGCTATTCTGCTCTTCTCTGACGACAGGTAAGACAGGTTTAATCTCGCCGGAACGGCGACTCTTTCCCATCGTCACCCTTTTCCTTCCGGCTTCCCCTCGCTCACATTCGCTTGTATAATTTACTTTTTCTTAACTATATTTTAGCGCCCGCAATTTGCATATTCCCCTTTGACCGCGAAGTGTGAAGCTTTAATCCTTGTAGAATTTCTCAACTTTTTGCGGAATATAAATCTAAGTTTTGATATATATAATGTTGATTTCACTTTTAAATTACACCGAGATTCTTCGATATAAATTTTCGAATAGCTGCAAAATGGATTGATTTTTTTTTTTTTTTTTTTTTTTTTACGTGGTCGAGAGAATGATGATTAAAATGTTGAAATGTGACGACAAGGTTTAAGCGATCGGAAAACCCGTAGTAAGCATGAGGTCTATATAGCAACGCTTTGGGCAATTAACATAATGAATAATTGTGTCGCCCGTGATATGTCATTCCACCGATAAGTGCTTAATGGGTAAATTAACGTTGACAAAGTGACGTAATTAATCCGCTAACTAGTTATTAAAGTCATCGTGGATACGCGACGCATACCTCATCCCCATTACGGAGGTAAACCTCGTTTTAACGTAGGCTGAAAAGAGATTGAGATCATAAATATTCAGCGATGTTTAAAGCGAGCGCCCGGCGGGAAATTTTCACTTTGAAAGATATACAATGTTACATACATATATACATGCGCATATACATATATATAAAAATATTTATATATATCTAATATATATATAATATATATATATATATATATATATATATCATATATATACACACATGTCATATATGTATAACATTTTATGCATATATATATATATATATATATATCGAAATCGCACAAGCGGGAGTAATTTAACAAGAACTTCGTGTCGACCCGCGTAACGCGACAAACTTAGCGTAACCGATGTAATTCGCGCGCAAAGCGCTCTGGCTTTCATAACACTCTGTGAATTCAGGACTATTACACATCCCATCCGATTGGAATTGTTGTGAATATATACCACAGATTGCTTGCTAGTAATTAAGTTGTATTAATAACACGCAGAGTGGACAATTACTATGGCTATTAACGGTTATCGCTTTGTATCCGCGCGTGCAGTACTATTCATATCATACGAAACGATTTTGCGTCGAATTGTAGAAATTCGTTAATTTTATAAGTATCAAATTTCACATACGCAAAAGCTTACACAGTTTACAAATTACACCAATAGTTTGATACATGTAATCCGTAATTGTAAATTATAATATAATATTTCCCTTTTAATCTCCCAAAAATACATATCCAGAGAGACATTTTACACACATTATTTTATATGAAAAATAGAATCTTCCCGAGAAAAATATATCCGACTGAAGAACTATAAATTTCGCGAAACAAATATTTTTACTTCACGCTGTGGAAACAATCTTGCAATTTCAGTACGTCAGAAACAAGCCTGGCAATTTTTACGACTGTGTGGAAATTTATTCAAATCGGTTACGTGCAAAACTCAAGGCGATCATAGTACGTCATTTGTTTCCCTCTAAGAACGCCCGTGCGACACGTATACCTGATGTCACCGACGTCGTCAGTTTACATAAATGCAGTCTGATCTCGCTGCGGGAATCCAATCCGCGCAAAAGTCGTAATAGAACCGATTCGTTCGCGAAGGGTCATCCGTTTTGCGTTGACCGCGATTCGAGACGAAAGAGTGGATGATTCGTCGAATATATAAATCAAATCGCGCGATCGTAGATTTTCTCTAAATTCCCGCGAAAGAACGAGCAAAGAAACGCAGTCGTTTTTCGCGGACGGAGAATGCGGCTGTGGAAAAACGAAAAAGCGATCAGGGAGGGTGGAAAGACGACTCCTAAGCAGGAATAGAGAATCGGCGAAAGAAAGGCGTGCGAATGCGAGGGAGACGAATGCAACGCGGGGACCAACGAAGAAGATTATGCAAACGGTAGGCAATTCGATTGGAGTGCACCGCAAATAACCGCAGTTTTAACCCATTCGACTAAGTGCACGAGAAAGACCGGCTGCCTGCCAGCCATTAGAATATCGCGTTCAAACATGTAATCTCAGGCAGCGGAACATTGATGTTTGTCGAGGAAAAGGGACGGATTTTAGGCCAGGTTTCATTAAAATCTTACCTTTCGTTGACTCGTCACGTCACTCATGAAATCGCTCTCGCCGCCGGCTAAACAATCAAGTTCCCTCGACGCGGGCCTTCGCGGTTCTGAATAAATATTAGGATATTTAGCGTCACCACCCACACCTCCTGAAACGATACAAATTATGCGGGACGTATATCAAAAATGCTCGATAATATATTAGCAATTAAGAAAAACAACATTTTAAAAAATGTGTCAAAATCATATATAATCAATCAATCCATTAACAAATGTTTATCGATATTAATATACATATTAATATGTATCAATATACAGGAATATATCGTAATATTTTATAAACGATATAATATAAAGTATTGACACGGATGAAAATATAAAGATAATTAACTGATTAATATCGAAACTTATCAGGACCAAACAAATTGACGCAAATTGTAATAACGCCGATACTTTCAAATAATATGCAACAAATATAAAAAGTTTTGTGAAATTACTCGTAATACTTATTAACTATAGTTACATTTGATTACGCTATTCATTTATTCGCAGTATTTTTACGAGAGGTCGACCGATAGTCTCATCTGGCTGCGCCTCTTTGGCGATATTAGTGAGCGAGATTCGAGCTTATGCGGATTAAAGCACAAGTGATTTCAGTGACGTAAATATTATCGAAAGAATCATTGTTCGATGGCAAAATCTGTTCCATCGTATTAAAATGAATGTAACATTTCATATAGTACAAAAGAGAATAAAAACTGTAGATATAAGTATTAAAAATAATAATGCAAAACAAAATCATATTGTTTTAAATCTTGTGTATTTTTTTCATTTGTACTAAGTGGAAAAATTATATGTATATATGAGGGATATTTATAACATTATACGCATATCTTAAAATCATTAAATTAAATTTCCGTCAAATTAAAGTATATATGCAAAGTTCGGACACAAGATTCTATTAGTCTACTATTTATATTTATATATGCATTTATGCATTTTATTTATCAAAATTTTCCTTTCAATTTTGAATGCTAAATATTTTAATGATAAAATATAATATAAAATTTTAAGAAAATTGTATACATTTCAATCACATATTTCTTTATTATTAATGTAAGCAGAGCTGAATCGAGGCTATTTCGCGTGCATTCGGTTGAAAAGTTTCGAAAATTATATTAGTAAAAAAAAGTAATAAATTAGACTCAGGTAAAGTAGAAGCACACAATGGCCTTTTGCAACGGCTTTCGCTTTCTGTGAACAGAAGAACTATAACTGTGTCTGCGTGACGCGAGTAAGATCACCCTAGCAAAGCTAGCATCATTATAGAATTAATTCGCTCTTATCGCCGTACTGCGATCGGTCGCTACGAGGGGTTGCGGTATTACACTCGAATTATTATCATGCTTAATAACATTCTGTGCACAGCGCATGCACGTAAGTGCACAAATATCACACACACCTGAGACAGACAGAAAGGGAGAGGGTGACTTGCTTCAGTTCATATATGATTGCTCGCGTTTCACATAATATTGCCTAGTGCTAATTATAACAGGTACTTCGTATATAGAATTAAATTTATATTAAATAAATATATATATGTATATGTATATATATGACAACAAACAAAAAATTATTTACCCACATTAGCACCACTATCATTATTTAAATGATTAATTATAGTTGGAAATATAATGGAATAAACGTGCCTAAATAGATTGCCAAAATTCAATTAAAGTTAAATATCATCATATTCCTAAAGTGACGAAATTCGTGAAATGGCTTCTTTTATAATGCAGTTTTTCAACTCGAGAGGAAAAACACTATAGAATTGAAAAATTTAATGTTCCAGAGAAAAGCGTCTATTTTATGTAATATATATCCTTTTTTTCGTTTTATCTTATATATACACATATACAATTTTTAATCAGTTTTTTATATTTTTTTCAAACATCAACGAATTATCGATTTTCAGAGAATTAATAATTCATGACATATCAGGTTTTGAAAAAACCTTTTTACACGTACCGTCCGCAAGATAAAATATAACAATAAAGATAAAAAAAAAATTGTACAGCGGGAAGATGAGCGCGATCAATAGTCTCTCTCTCTCTCTCTCTCTCTCTCTCTCTCTCTCTCTCTCTCTCTCTCTCTCTCGAAACCTCTCGTTTTATGAAAGATAATTATTTAAAAAGAAATTGTTTGCATGCTGACTCATATTTCCTTTCACTTTATACCTATATTCTGATATTATACTTCCCAAATGCAATCTTCTTGATGGCGGCTTCTAGGTATAAGAGATTAATGATCTCGCAAGATGGTCTTTCGAATGGGGAAGGATAATAACAGCGTAGTAAGGGAGGGGAGAGAGAAGCGTGCATAATGTGGGTCACTCCTGCGAGTCGAGTCGATCGGACCCTCATCGTGCAGTCGAACGCGTTTGAGAAGCAGAATACGCCGAGTCTTGTCCGCCACGGAGTGCGTCATTTTCATACGTAAACACGCGAGGAATAAGGAGGGACAAATGGCGCGCATCGGCAATAAGACAGATGGCTTCTCCGGATACCGTAGCATCAAGAGCTATCTTTTCAAGAGAGACCTTACTCAACGTTCAATCCAACGCAAGATGACGTTTGCACCTTAAAATCATTCCCGAAGTAGCAAGGGGTAAATATTTTATCACAAAAGGGATTTAAAAAATAGTCTAGCTAAAATAATTATTCTTTTCGAAATTAAAATTTTTTAAAATAGGACCGGCTGAAAAGATAACAGTACATACTTTACAAAAAATAGCACCAAAAAGTATAAATGTTTTAAAATTATTTTTCCCTAGCGCGCGCGGACACGGGTGGCAAATTATGTCAGAACTAAATTGCGGACGTAAACAGCCCAACATCAGCATACATGGTACGCCCGTGTCTCGAAGAATGCAATTCACAGTTAATTCAGTGTGATAATAATTAAAGGATGATTTAATAATACAAATTTACATTTCTCGTATTTACATTACGTAACATAAAATTAATTTTTAATTGTTTATTAATGAAAATAAACGTATATTAAGTCGCTAATATATAATACATATATGTATATGTATTTAACGTCACGTACGATTATTTTTTAAAGCGGAACAGAACGAGACAGGATGGAAAGAACGTGACAAGACCACGTCTCTTGATTTTGCGTTGACGATTAATTCGAGCATTAGTGAGATTTAAAGCAGTTCTGGCGCGCTTAATATCCGCGGTTGCACATTGAGGTGACAGCTTAAGATCTGCCAGGACGAGATGATCAGTTCTCACGCAACATGAATCCCTAATCTCAGCCCTCCATCTGCCATCTTAGAGCTCTTAGAGTCTTATACAAAATTGCACTTGCATTATGCATCTTGAAAGATGCATAATGTGCATTTGTATATATTATTAAGAGTATAATAATATATATAAAAACATAATATATATAATATATTATTATTGCTCGCGTTATTTACAAACGAACGAAATATTATAACGAATGCACCGTGTACCACAGTTTCCGAAAGATAGATGGAAGAGAAAAGGAAAAATATAGACATCGCTCGCATACGAGATCTCGTTTTGAAAACGGTTTTCAAACGATGCCGCGGTTGGTTTCATCCGTTAGTTCCGGAGTAAACGAGTCGCGTAATCGCGATCAAAGTTGCCAGATCGGTAAAGGTTCGTCCGGAAATCACTTTAAAAAAAGTTGCATGATAAAACATGCGCGTGTGTTATTAATAGCTACCAAATAAACATTGAACAATTTGATCATAAAGATTAAATTGTAACGAAATAAGAAAAAAGTGTCATAGAACTCGAACGGCTCGGAGATTTTTTCTCTCGCCCGAAGACTTCGAGCTAAAATCACATTTGACGGTTCTGATTGTCAGGATTGACAATGTAGAATAAACTCGATTCAATCGATACGTACAATAACTTTTCTCTCTAGCTCGTGTTTTCTTGCGTCATCTCTCTATACATATTTTGTGATATGCAACCGATCTAAAATCTACATTAACACGAATAACATGGATGTCGGAATATCTGATTTCTCGATACAATGGTCACAATTAATAATTGCAGCCGTATATATATCTATGCACAAGTCGATACCGAAATTATCGGTCAGTATTGTACATATGTACACATACATTTATACTCTTGTGCATTGCGTGCGGTTAATAGCACCGTGGGACCGTTTTACAGCATGACAGAGACAAGCATAAGTATTAATTTCATATTTGTCTCCGTACTTAATTGCCGTAATCGGTTGCATTGCGAGCCGCCTATCGATCATCGTTCTCTGTGTCCATCCTACTTAATTACGTTTCGTGAATCGCGGCAATTGCAGTAATCGAGACGAGTGCACTTGTGTTACGTCGCTCGGGAACCCTTGAACTTCATGTTCTGTCGCGTATCAATTTTGTACCGAATGAAACGCTTCGAGTTGAAGCAAACTGAAGTACATATTTAGAAATTGACGTGAAATATATATACTTTTAGCTTGCTATATTCAATGCAATATAATTCGAATAATAACGATGAGTAATTAATTCCAAAAAAAAATAATAAATATAAATGAGAATAAAAATTAGATGTCAAAAATTAAAATATATTCTATAATTAATCAAATAAATTATCGTGTATTTTGTAAAAAAGCTTGAGAATTTATGTATCTCCCTATTTCTCTTGAGAAAATATTTTTATATACTAACACTCAAATAAAGGGAGCATTAGGGATGCATTGCATTTCCACAAGATTCCAACGAGTGGTCTCCTCCTGAAAGCAGCGTTGTATTATTAGGCAAAAGCACTCGAAACGCGATCCGCGATGTAGAGGCTCTATGCCTCGACGCGTTAATGAAGATCCGGGCGTTCGTGTCATAATCGTATACGTCCGTGTGACGTTAATCGAGTGGCTTTCTGGAGCATAATCGAGACAAAACAATAAGCGAGGGAAAAGAATCGCGACGGAGGAGACGACAAGTTCTCTCGCTCTCTTTCTCTCTTTTTCTTCTCTGCGGCAGCGGCGCGACGCGTAATTGACAAGGGTAGAGAGAGGTAATGGAGGAATTCCGTTTTGGTCCGTACATTCGATCGTCATTGTCCA